TGTGGTTAGAGGGTCAATATTTCAGTCTACATTGTTTAGTGAGGCTTGGATAGTGCCGTTGTTGTTGATGCGGATTTCTTGGCTTTGCCAATTTGTTCTCCATTCTCTACCTACTATCGTGGCTGCTTGCTGAGGGGTTATAGTGTGTTCTCCATTAGTTTTACGAAAATGTAAAATATAATCATAACCTGGTGGCAATTCATAATGATCGCCAGTATCAGCAAAAGCATTGCGAAAAGCATCATTAAACACCGAAATCCATCATTCTTCACCGGCTAACTTCAAAACCCTATTGGCAATATTGATAACCTTTTGCCTTCGCTCATCAAGTTCCCCAATAATTCCTGCGGCTCTAATTTTTTTTTCTCATTCTGCCGTTTCTCAAGCTTTATTTATTTCTTGTTTAACGTGTTGTCGGTGTAAATTAGGGATAACATTATCAAGATAGTCATTAACATACTCAATTATTTGGGTCTTGTCGGCATCTATATTTTTATTATTGCTCCAATAAACTCCATTAAAAACTCTTCCACCGGTATCATTATTTCAACTTTTAACCTTTTCTAGGTCAAGTAATTCTGGTGCTATGGTATTTCTTTGTCGTTGTTCTTGTTCCTCTGCCGCTGTGCGGGTCGTTTCAGTTGGATCAATATCCGCCAGAAAAGTTCTACCACCATCCAACGAACCGCAAATAACGCCTTTGTCATTAATCATGATTTCGTTCGGGTCATTTCATCCATTATTATAAACCTTTCCGGCTTGGGTTCCGGTTATTCAATAAAAATTGTTTGTGCTGGGCTTGTGATATTCAAGTATCGCATCATTGTCGATATTGTTCTCGTTGCTTGCCAACCATCCTGTAAGTCGGAATTCATTGATAAAATTGTCTTTAGCTATTTTGCTTGCATTTCAAGCCGCTTTGGTGTTGGTAGGGTCGGCTCAATTAAACCCATATCATTTGCCGGAAGAAACGGAGACCCCGTAATTACCACTATTAAAGATTTCAATTTCATTTTCTAGTCAACCACCATTGCGAGCAATGGCTCCTTCGGTACCTGTTGCTCGGCGGTTGCCTCCACTTTTTCGGTAGTCCAGAATATCATCATCCTCCATATCGTTGTAAGCACCAACAAAAGCCGATGCGGCTTTGAAATCACTAATTCATCAAGCGTCGTAGGCTGTATTCAGAACCTCGTTAGCAATTTTAATAGCGTAATTTCTGGCCGCATCCAAACCACTGTCAGCACTAATTCCCCATGTTCAACTTCTATTGCTAATTTTTCTTTCTCAACCTTTTCGTTCTTCCTTTTCATCTACTTTTTGTTTAACTAAATCCCGGTGTTCAGGAGAGATATTATTAAGGTAATCATTAACACGAGCGATTATCTGTTTTTTGTCAGCATTAAAACCTGATCCGTCTAAAGAACTTTTGACATTATTCCAACCTTCAACCTCGTCAAGAGTAAGAAGTTGTGGGGCTACTGCTGGAATTATTCCAGTTGCCCCTTGGCCGGTGCCGCGATTTCGATCGTCAGACGATTCATCATTCAAAAAGTCAATCACTTCATTAGCATAACCTACAATGGTAGTCAAGAACGCTTTTCTATCCTCGTTGTCCTCTGGCTCGTTTTTTATCCTTGTTTCTCAATTTTTAATACTATCGTTATCGGAATTATCTATCGCAGTTTTTAAATCTGCCGCATTATCTTTCTTTTCAATAGCATCTTTAACGTAGTTAATCACTCAATTCTCGTCGCTTTCAAGAGGGAAACCCTGTTCCTCTACTCTTTCGTTTATTAATTCTTGTGTTATTTTTGTTATAGTCATGTTATTATTAATATTATTTTTGTATTTATGAGTTGAGGAAGTTGAGGTGCTTTGGTTCTCATTTTCTCCATCATTATTATTAAGTGGTGTGTGTGTGTGTGTGTGTGTGTGTGTGCTTTCTTGATTATTAAGTTTTGCTTGGAAATTTTTTAGAAAATCAGAGGTAATTTTTTTTGGAGTAAGACTTTGAGAAGTAGTGTTTTGAGAAGTGGAACTTTCATTCTCATTATCACTCCAATCATCGTCGTTTTCGTCATCAGAATTATTAATTGATACTTGCGAAAATCTTTTTTTT